AGCAGCAGCAGCAGCAGCTTCGTGCTTCGGGTTCGTGCCGTGGTGCCGACTTTTGGAACACTGACTGTTAACGACGAGGCTCGTAGGGGGGGCTCGGCTACGTGTGTGCGCGCGCGCCTCTGTGCCCAGAAAGCCCGAGGAGCCGCCGACACCGTCGCCCTCGGTAGTGGTGGCCGGAAAAGGTGTGCGTGTGTAAGGTTGTGAGCGTAGGCGCCGACGCGGTGCCGGAGGTGCGCGCGCGTGGGTACGGCGTAGAGTCAGACGAGAGCGCAGGCGTAGCGGGGTCGAGGATGACGTTGTCGAGGAGCCGGGCCAAGGCGCGGGCAGGTGCTCCTATCAACAGAGATGCTAACAAGGACTTATCGCGACTCCTCGCCTTCAAAGTACCAGCTGCTTAGGGAGCACTCCGCGCTCGCTTGCCGTACGTCCGTGAAAGCGCAAACTCGGATTACCCAATAAATTCCTATATTGTCTGAGAAGTCTCCGAGGCAAGACCGCGTGGCTCGCACTCTTGCCCTCCTCCTCCTCCACGATTTATGATCAAACCTATTTGCTGGGCATTGATGACGATGACGAGATGAAGGAGACCGAGCTTAGTTACGGTTTCTGAATATACGTTGAAATATTTTAACGGCCGTTCAACGTCCATTATTGTTTATTAACAAATTAAAAATGTTTCACGAATCTCGGCCGCGGTATTGCACATACGATGAAGACAGATCGCTTTTAATTAATGAATCCTGCACTAATGTTACACATTCGTCGATTATAATAATTTTTCAATTAAACTCAAATGTATAGTAAATCCGATGTGGTGTGTAATAACGAAACAATAAACGTTCAGATTATTATCTTAAGTCTTGTTCAATTTCTACAGAACTCGATAATACTGTTATCATTGTTTATCAGTACCAACGATAAAAACATGAACACCTTATAAGAAAATGTAAAACAACGGATGTGCCGTGAAATTTAAGTTTCCAATGTATTTAGACGAGGTTCTATTCTATTGTTGTCTTAATTTAATATTAATATACTCAAATTAATCCCCATGGAAGTCCAATATTTTATAAGTATAAAATGAGAATAAAGTGACTTTTCGCCATTTTCATGCACTAAACATTATTGAGACGAAAGTTTTAAATTTAAGAAAATTATTGATTCTCAATTTTTTCACTCTAATGTGATAAAAGAAAATATAGCATGACATGATTTAACGCTGTACTTTTCACTTCCAATCTCATCCTCCAATAGATATTTATTTCTAGAATTGTATATTAGAGAGTACAATACGTAGGTACGTTCAATAAAAATATATCCATATGCGATGGAAAAACAAAAATATTGAAAATCGATGTATTATGGTAGGAAGAGGTATACCTTAAAGTGGTAATATTCCGTATTTCTAAGCTCGTGTAAAACTCGATAAATTAAAAAATCGAATTATTATTATTTTTTTTTTTTTTTTTGTTTTTTTTTTTGTTCGCATGCATTCCTTAAAATGTATGCAGTATTGGAAATTTCCTTGTTCACATAATAGTTATGAGTGAAACAGATATCTATTTTATCAATAGGTTATTCCTTATATCATCACATTTTTTACCTCCATTCATAAACTTTATCTCATAAAATCTCCTATCCTTATTTCATAAACTTCAATTATAAGTTTTGAAGGCTACTTCAATTTTCTTGATACAATTAAGTGGCCGTCACATATTTATAGCTTCAAATTTTATTGTGAAGCCTCACTCTTGGATATAAAAACCATAGTGTACGCGACCTAGCGACCAATACAACCGGGCTCTATTGCATAACAGGTTGATAATACGTACGAAGTAAGAAAGAGAGAGAGAGAAAGAGAGAGACAGACAGAGAGACAGACAGAGAGAGAGATAGAGAGAGAGAGAGAGAGATAGATAGATAGAGATAGATAGAGAGAGATAGATAGAGAGAGAGATAGAGAGAGAGAGAGAGAGATAGATAGATAGAGATAGATAGAGAGAGATAGATAGAGAGAGAGATAGAGAGAGAGAGAGAGAGATAGATAGATAGAGATAGATAGAGATATATAGAGATAGATAGAGATAGATAGAGATAGATAGAGATAGATAGATAGAGAGAGAGATAGATAGAGAGAGAGAGAGAGAGAGAGAGCGAATAGTTGGGGTAGGGGCGGTGGTGGGGTTCGGAAGAGGAGAAGGGGAGCAGACAACTACTTTATCGTTCGACTTTTATATTTTTCCTCGCGTTTATACTCGGGTGTGAAGCCTACTTAACTCGCTACATGTGTGAGATTTGTGAATAGGAATAACGAGTAATTGATATAAGATATAAAGAACGTAGCTCGTCTTTTATGAAATGCCTAATAATTTTTATCGTTTACTTTTTATCGTTTACTATATAATATTATAAATATCTTACGGTAAAATAATGACATTTTACTTTCGATAATGCATATACGACATACTCGAAATGATAAATATACATTAATTTAAACTTGTAATGCACGATTATTAATGAAAAAGTTACTATCGATAACAATCGATCGCTTCCCTCTTCTCTCAATATTCATGCAAGCAAAATCTCTTTCATTTTTTGTTTTTTTTTTGTTTTTTTGTTTTTTCTTTTTGTTTTGTTTTTTTGTTTTGTTTTTTTTTGTTTTTATTTGTTTTATTAATATGGAAATATTATGAGAATAAAGTTATTGTTTAATTTACGACACCAGTTTACATTTGAGACTCTACAATACGTAAAATAATGTTCTTTCGGACTTTGGTGTATAAATAATATTGAAAAATTATCTGGCTAATAGAGTATGTATAAAAAACTCAAGTTATTCATTTTATTTAGCTTTTATAAAAATTATGATTTGG